ATATTCGACTTCCAACTTTTCTTGAACCATTTTCAACTATCACATTAGGCGTCCAACCGGCCAACATCTCTGACCATTGATAATCACTTTCGACCATCATTTTTTCTAGCTAGCAACCACCTCCAACAACTACCAAGCACCTCTCACTAGTGGCAATCGCCCTTCAACCACTACATTCCATAACTAAAAACTACCTCCGACTACTATTTCTAACCATTGACAATCAGCTCTTGCAACCACTCCTTTTCATTCATTTTCAAAATAAAATTTTAAAATAGGTGTGTATGAAACATATTTTTTAGTTTTGTTTTTATCCAAAATATATATAAACATGTTTAATAGTTTCTGTAAACTAAAAATAATAAAGTGTAAATGTTTCCAAACGACAACTTAGTTTTGAATTTTCAAATATAGTTTTTGAATTTTAAATTTTGAATTTTTCATATTTTAATATTTTTTAATTTTTTTATAAATGTTCCCAAAAATTAAAAATATTTATGAATTAGAAATAAAATAAAATTGGCAAAATAAAATTTTGAGTGTAAATATGAAAAAAAATAGATTAATGGCAAAGCCTACAAATTTCAATAATTAAAATGTTAAATTTTTCCTTGAATTTATAATTATTTTGGAAATGTACTACTAATTTGTAGTTTTCCTTTAAAAAAAAAAAAAACATCAATAAATACAACAAATACAAAAATACAAAACATGTACTGATTTTTTATTATATGATATATTTGTACTTTTTGTATTTTTTTGAATTTTTAAATATATTTTTTTATAAATTTTTCATTGGCATATTGGTTAGGTGCATTTAAAAATTAAGAAAATTGATAAAAAAATATTTAAAAAGTTATAAAATAAAGATAATAAAACACGAAAAATAATAAACTAAAAAATTATATTTGAAAATTTAAAACAAAACGTATTAAATTTTAATTTTTGGACTTACATAAAGAGATGCAAAATATATAAGTTGTGTCATTTTATTTATGCTGTGTTTGGTTGGAGTTTTTGAGGTGGGATTTGGAAAAGGAATGAGAAATGTAATCCTATTTATGTTTGGTTATAATAAAAAATATATGGGAAAAGAAAGGGGGTGAGAAATAAATAAAGAAATAGGATACCTTTTAGGACATTAATTCTATTTTATAACCAACACAACCAAACATAGTTGGGATTTGGAATTCTATTAATTCTTTCTCCTTTTCCTTTCATTTCCATTTTCCTTTCCATTTCCCTTCCCAAATCCCCCAACCAAACACAGCGTTAGTGTTTGAGATTGCCAATTCACTCAACATATAAATGATGTTTAAATTTGATCCCCAAACCTAACTCACTCTATAGATGGCATTAACTCAAGGGTTAATTTGTAAATGGAACTAAAAGATTAGATTTTTTGTCGCTAAAGCATATGTTAGTGTTATATTAGTTTCTAATATTTAAATTATGTCATTTTAATTCCCAAGGTACAGAAAAAATGTTTGATTAGTCTCCCAACCTAATTTTCTCTCTGTCTAAACTAGGAGTAAAGTGTGAAATTCATAAATACATATGTAAAAAAATAAATAATCTTTGGACCAAAATATTTCTACCATCTAACATGTATATATATATATATTAATTACTTCAAAACATATGATGTTTTTCCCCGCAAATTTTTGTTTTTTGCACAAAGAATTTAAACATGATGATGTGCTTATTCAATAACACGCGTTTATGTGATCACGTTGTCAATTTGACTCGGGAACATGTTTAAAAAATTAAAAAGTCACTAAAAAATTAAAAAGTTAAATAATCATATAAAAAAGTCAATTTTTTTTATTTTTTCTCTATTTTTTGCATTTTTTTTTTGTTGGTAAATAGTCAAAAATTATCGTAAACATATTACTTTTTTTCACCTCATATTTTAACAAAAAAAATCAAAAAAAATATACTAAATTATTATATATTCTCTCACTATTAAGTGAATTCACCTGGTCTTCCTAGAAAATCAAATAATTTCTCCTCACAATGGAAGTATAAATTTGAATTAATCATAGTTTACATTTTTTTATTTTGTCAAAGTTAAAATTTATCTCGTAAAATTAAGGATACTCGATTCATAAATTCAAATTTGGATTTTGTTTGGTGAAATGTCCAAGCACAGAAATACTTTGTCCATAAAGATATGGTGATGCAAAATGTCCAAACTACCCTTACATATATATATCATAAACACGGTTAAAATTCCACAATTTTCTCATTCTCTCTTCAACTCTCTCTCTCTCTCTCTCTCTACCATTACTATCGGAGGACGACAACTTGTTGGACTCGACATTCGCCACTCGAGCCTGCTATGATGGAAGACCCGATGGTCTGCTTTGCCGATATGGAGGCATCCAGACCAATCTCAGTATGGTTTTCTAGGGTTTCGATCACCAGAGTACACAAATAAAAAGGAATACGTTCAACCAATTCGTCAGATCTGTAACCTTTGACGAACTCCATCCACAGTCGCATCGCCATCATTGTCTCTCTTATCACTCTCTCTTTCTCTCTCTCCCCCCCCCTCTCTCTCTCTCTATCTATCCATCTCTATCTCTTCCATTCCTATCAGAGGACGACGACTTACTAGACTCGGCCAGGCATCCAGACCAATCTCAGCATGGTTTTCTAGGGTTTCGGTCACCAGAGTACACAAATAAAAAGGACTACGTTCAACCTATTCGTCAGATCTGTAACCTTTGACGAACTCCATCCACAGTCGCATCGCCATCATTGTCTCTCTTATCACTCTCTCTTTCTCTCTCTCCCCCCCCCTCTCTCTCTCTCTATCTATCCATCTCTATCTCTTCCATTCCTATCAGAGGACGACGACTTACTAGACTCGGCCTCCATCGCCCGACGTCGCCGTGGTGGAAGACTTGAGGGTTTGCTTAGCCAACACGAGGCATCCAAACCGATCTCAGCCTGGTTTTCTAGGGTTTTGATCACTGAAGTACACAAGCAATTGCTCTTCCTCTCTCTTCTCTCTTCTCTCTTCTCTCTCTCTCTCTCTCTCTCTCTCTCTCTCTCTCCACACACACTCACATAAGAATTTCACACGGATAATTATTTAACACAGATAGGGAATTAATTGTAATTTTGTTGTGTAGTGTGTTGCTTCATTGATCATCTGCTAGACTTTCAACAAACAAAAAATTAATTGAGGTTTGGTTATACCAACAATCTGTTCATTCAAAAAATTGAATAGATAAAAATAAATTTCCATAGATAGGAAAAATTAAAGAGAAAAACCCACAGAATCTACAAAATTTGAACGGATAGAGGAAAATTTGAATAGATAAGGAAAAAATTCAACAAATAGATATAAATTTGAACATATAGAAAAAAATTTGAACAGAAAGTCAACAAAAGTCAACAAATTAAAAAAGTCAACAAATAAATTAAGGGGTAAAATTGAAAACAAAATGACTTTCAAAACAAATAAAATGACTTCTCACCAAACTATTTTATAAAAAGTGAATTTTTCATTAACAAAAAACATCCACTAAATCCAATGTCTTACAACCCCCTTAAATTAAATTTATCACCAATTTATTCTAAAATTAAAGGTACGCTTTGGAATTTATAACTTTTGTGAAAGTTGCAATTTGTTGCTTGATAATAATAATAATAATAATCATAATAATCCTTTACACCTTATAATTTTGTATACAAGTTGCATTTTGCACAATTTTTTAAAAAAATTCAGGTATGGTGAAAACTAAAGGTGTAACGTATCAACATTTTATTTTACAAGACGTGAAGTGAAAATTTTACAAAATTATGTGTAAAGTGCAATTTTTAAATTATGAGAACAAAATGCAACTTTCTTAACTAAAATTTATAGCACGAAGGGTCACTACTAATCATGTTTTTAGGGGAATAATAAACGAAAAAAAAAATAATAATAATAATCATTTGAATGCAAAGGGATACAAGTAAAAACTGCATCATTTTTGTATAATCTTAGTTACACCGAGCACACGTCTCAATAGAGTCTGTTGACTTGCAATTTTTTTGATTTACCTTTTATCTAATATTCTCCTAAATTTTTATTGGGTAAACCACATTGAGATTTAGTAAAAATGTAAAAAATTCTACAATTTTAATATAATTACACCATGCTTCCTTTCAATTTAAAATGAAAAGACAAAATAACCTTCACCAACACTACTCGCTTTCTTCATCCTACTGACTGTTATTAGAAAAAAAAGAAAAGAAAAAAAGAGAAGCAATATCTTAAAAGACAAAACCAAGAGTAAGATCAACCTATTGAACACAAATCTAACCACTGGCCTTACAGGACAACTGTGTCTCTCAACTTTGACGTTGTCATTTCTTTTTTTGGCACTCAGTCAAATCAAGGTTTTAAAATTTTTGACCATATTGCCCTAAACTCTATTCTTTTTAAGTCATAAGTACAACAATTTAAAAAATCACATTACTCCTTCCTACCTAACTAGCCCCCGCCTATTTGTCCACATGTCTATATTACCGCTGCCGGTAGCCGTTGACTTCTGACGCTAATGACTTTTCCGGTGACTCTCCAGTGATAGCGAATTTTCCAACTCACCGAGAACAATCGACAATGATTGGTGATTAACAATAGTGTGTGAGTGTAACAATATAATTTTTACTTCTCACTAATATATTTCATTAACCATGTCCTTCGAATCAAAACAGAACAATCACTGCACTTAATGTTATATATATCCATAAAAGTGGACTTTTCACCAATTTTTCATTTTTTTTTTCCTTTTAATTGAAAGAATAGTATCATAGTCATGTTTCATTTAACAGAGCATGAGATCAATTACAATCCTACTAAAAGTGATCATCCAACCATCTTCTTACATTCATATCATGTCAAAATGTACTTATTATGCTGTGTAAATTTATATATGTAACACAGTCTGATAATGGAACAGGAAAAGGAGATGTCCGAGAGAAAATTGGTGGACTCATCACCCTTTTTTTTTTCGTTTTAATTGAAAGAATAGTATCATAGTCATGTTTCATTCAACAGAGCATGATATCAATTACAATCCTACTAAAAGTGAACATCCAACCAACTTCTTACACTCATTTCATGTCAAAATGTTTCATACTATAAATGTACTTATTATTCTGTGCAAATTTATATATGTAACAGAGTCTGATAATGGAACGGGCAAAGGAGATGTCTGAGAGAAAATCATCATATGGGATGGGTGAAAATCACATTCATCAACAACAAATCAAGAATTTAGACCTCGTAATCTATACCAGCCACCCAAATCAAATGAAAAAGTTCATTACCTCAAACTGAGTCTTAATTTAGCAGCGTCATCATCGATGCTCGAGTGGGTGAAGCCACATAGTAAGAGTTTTCTTCCACTTTATTGGCTTTCAAAATGGGAGAAATTTTGAAATGTTGTTTATTCGAATCAACATCACAAAAACAAACAAGCTAGCGACGCCCATTTGCCCAATGCCTGTTGTGATTTCCAGGTCTCATGTGAGGATTCCTAGGGCCAAGCCCTTGCTTCGGGAGATCCTGCAATTCCATGACCTGGATAGTTCTTTGTCTCTTTGCTGTCAAATAGAAGAACAATCACCATCAGATAAAAATAATTTCATTATGTGTCTCTACTGAAAGTTATTTTGATGAAAAATAAATCAAATACGGAAAGTAAAATCCAAAATATGGTAAGAATAAGTTTGGAGCAGATACCATTTTCAGCTTGTTGGTAGCGCTCATGGAGCTTCCTCTTTGCGGCTTCAAGTTTTGCAGCATCATCCAAACACTTCGGTTTCTAATTGAACAGCAAAAATAGATCAAAATGAATGATCCAAGCAGCAAGCTATTTGACATCTGTACAGGTGATATTGTTTTAAATAACAGTATCGATGACACAGTCATATATATATCAGTCAACATCGGACAGAATCGGCCGATCTATCAATGAATAATGGTATGGGAAGTCCAAAATTCCAATACGTAACAGCAGATATTTAAAAATAATGGATTTTCCCGATACTCACATCTTCTTGAGCAGCTAGTGGCTTCTTTTGGATTGTGATCGGCCTGTTTGAGTTTTGCTGGGATTTTGTCTCATTGCTGACCTTTTGCTCCATGTTTAATTTTGTCAGCCTCCCAGGGCCAGACTCGGTGTTCAAGGGCTTATGTGGTTTCACAACAGCATTTGGTTTCTTCATTACAGGTTCTTGATTCTTCCTTTCTTCACCCTTCTTGTCCGTGGCAGGTACATACGGTTCATGGGGAACTTGCTGCTTCCACTTGGGAACAGTTTGATTCGCCATTGATGGGTTTCTGCCATTTTCACGGTTCTTCTTGAATTCCCCACTGTTTCGAGGATCTAAAACAACATCCCCATTTAAAAATCATGAATCTCTAAGAAAGTGGGGAATTCAAACAAAGAACCGAATAGCAAAAAGCTTTATAAGAAAAGCATAAAGGATCACAAATTCAACTCACTTCCATCATCATCTATGCCATCGAAGAACTTTGGTAAGCGCAATTGAGAAAGACAGAAAAAGAAGCAAAATGTGTCAGTCTCTAACCACAAAAGGCTAATAAACTTATTTCCTTGAGAAAAAAAAGAAATGAACA